AGAATTACCAGCAGAGGGAGCAAGAAGCAGAGACTGAAAAGGCTGGCATAGTAGGGGAAAAAGAAAGTGGTCAGCAAAGGCTCAAGCTGGGCATCATGACAGGTGATAACGGAAGGGTCGCTCAGCAGGTAGGACTGGCGAAAAAATAACAGAGGCAGCATGGCCAACAGGACCACCACCCAAATGGACACACTCATGGCCAGGGAGGTGCGATGGCTGCGCAGGGTCAGAGCACCAAAGGGGTGCACCAGAGCTATATATCGGTCTATGCTGATAAATGCCAGGCAGAGCACAGAACCATACATGCTACCATAGAGCAGCGCTATGACCAGTCGGCACAGTGGCTCGCCGAAGAACCAGTTCAAACCAGCAAAGTAGTAAATGATGCGGAAGGGCAACATCAGAAGGAGGAGCATATCCAGCACTGCCAGGTTGATGAGGAGGATGTTGGATGGTATCTTCTCCGTGTGGAATATCAGCACCCACAGGGCCAGGATGTTCGCTGGGAGCCCAACAAGGAATGCAACTGAGTAAAGGACGGGCACCACAATCACAGTGGTGGAGCTCTGGATCTCCAGCTTGTCTTCTTCTGACACCAGGATGAAAATTCTGTTTGTCTGGTTGTTTCTCTGAGCTGTTATATAACTTTCACCTAATAAGAGACAGAAACAGAGGAGTGCAATGAGTATCACCTTGCTACTACTTACTTTGGTCAGGGTCCCAGACATTATAGGACACAAGACAGGGGTACACCCTGGACAGGTCACAGAGCTCCTACATGCACACTACACGAGGAGTACCTGTAAGCTCCCTAAACAAAAAGCAGAGGCGAAGTCAAGCCCCCAAACCTGGAAGTCTGAGTGTTATTCACTAAACCAATGCCTTTTAGTGATGGGCAAAATGACGCTTTTTTGAGACATAGTTCATTTGATTCAGTTCATTTAAAAGATTAGTTCTGATCACCCACTTGTTCAGTGGCACTTTCTTTTTGCATAAAATGAATCTGAAACACCTGTGTTTCGATATGTCAAAAAGTAGCCCATTATTTAGGCTAAATAGTGCTAAGGAGTAAGCTAAATACCACTAATAAGTCATGGGAGTCATCAGACCCCTTATGATGAATACAAACATAGATTCACGTTTTCCCTTGCCCAGATGCGGGTCACGGGGGTGGGGCTCGATGGCGAGCGCCTGGTGGCCAGGCCTGCACCCATGGGGACTGGTCGGGCACAGCCCGAAGGAGGCACGTGGGTCCCCCCTCCAATGGGCTCACGACCTGTAGGAGGGGCCAAAGGGGTTGGGTGCAGTGTGTGTTGGGCAGTGGCCGAAGGCGGGGACCTTGGCGGTCCGATCCTCGGCTGCAGAAGCTAGCTCTAAGGACATGGAATGTCACCTGTCTGGTGGGGAAGGAGCCTGAGCTGGTGCACGAGGTTGTGAGGTTCCAACTAGATATAGTTGGGCACACCTCAACGCACGGCTTGGGCTCTGGAACCAGTCTCCTTGAGGGGGGTTGGACCCTCTTCCACTCTGGAGTTGCTCACGGGGAGAGGCGCCGAGCGGGGGTGGGCATACTTATTGCCCCCTGGCTGGGCGCCTGTACATTGGGGTTTACCGCAGTGGACGAGAGGGTAGCTTCCCTTCGCCTTCGGGTGGGGGGACGGGTCCTGACTGTTGTTTGTGCTTATGTGCTAAGTGGCAGTTCAGATTATCCACCCTTTTTGGAGTCCTTGGAAGGGGTGTTGGAGAGCGCTCCTTCTGGGGACTCTATTGTTGTGCTGGGGGACTTCAATGCTCACGTGGGCAATGACAGTGAGACCTGGAGGGGCGTGATTGGGAGGAACAGCCCCCCTGATCTGAACCTGAGTGGTGTTTTGTTATTGGACTTTTGTGCTCGTCACGGATTGTCCAAAATGAACACCATATTCAAGCATAAGGGTGTCTATATGTGCATTTGGCACCAGGACACTCTAGGCCGCAGTTCGATGATCGACTTTGTGGTCGTGTCGTCGGACTTGCGGCCGCATGTATTGGACACTCGGGTGAGGAAAGGGGCAGAGCTGTCAACCAATCACCACCTGGTGGTGGGTTGGCTCCGCTGGTGGGGGAGGAAGCCGGTCAAACCTGGCAGACCCAAGCGTATAGTGCGGGTCTGCTGGGAACGTCTGGCGGAATCCCCTGTCAGAAGGAGCTTCAACTCCTACCTCCGGCAGAACTTCACCCATGTCCCGGGGGAGGCGGGGGACATTGAGTCCAAATGGGCCATGTTCCGCGCCTCCATTGTGGAGGAGGCTGACCGGAGCTGTGGCCGTAAGGTGGTCGGTGCGTGTGGCGGCGGCAATCCCCAAACCCGCTGGTGGACACCAGCGGTGAGGGATGCCGTCAAGCTGAAGAAGGAGTCCTATCGGGCCTTTTTAGCCTGTGGGACTCCGGAGGCAGCTGATGAGTACCGGCGGGCCAAGCGGAATGCGGCTTCGGCGGTCGCTGAGGCAAAAACTCGGGTATGGGAGTAGTTTGGCGAGGCCATGGAGAACGACTTCCGGACGGCTTTGAGGAGATTCTGGTCCACCATCCGGCATCTCAGGGTGGGAAAGCGGTGCGGCATCAACACTGTTTATGGTGGGGATGGGGCGCTGCTGACCTCAGCTCAGGACGTTGTGGGTCGGTGGCGGGAATACTTCGAAGACCTCCTCAATCCCACCGACACGCCTTCCATTGAGGAAGCAGAGTCTGGGGACTTGGGGGTGGACTCTCCTATCTCTGGGGCGGAGGTCGCTGAGGTGGTTAAAAAGCTCCTTAGTGGCCGGGCCCTGGGGGTGGATGAGATCCGCCTGGAGTTCCTCAAGGCTCTGGATGTTGCAGGGCTGTCTTGGTTGACACGCATCTGCAGCATCGTGTGGACATCGGGGGCGGTGCCTCTGGATTGGCAGACCGGGGTGGTGGTCCCCTTCTTCAAGAAGGGGGACCGGAGGGTGTGTTCCAACTATAGGGGGATCACACTCCTCAGCTTCCCTGGTAAGGTCTATTCAGGGGTGCTGGAGAGGAGGGTCCGTCGGATAGTCGAACCTCGGATTCAGGAGGAGCAATGTGGTCTTCGTCCTGGCCGTGGAACAGTGAACCAGCTCTATACTCTCGGCAGGGTCCTGGAGGGTGCGTGGGAGTTTGCCCAACCAGTCTACATGTGCTTTGAGGACTTGGAGAAGGCATTCAACCGCGTCCCTCAAGGAGTCCTGTGGGGAGTGCTCCGGGAGTATGGGGTGCCGGGCTGCCTTATAAGGGCTGTTCGGTCCCTGTACAACCGGTGTCAGAGCTTGGTCCGCATTGTCGGCTGTAAGTCGGACTGCGCCAGGGCTGCCCTTTGTCACCGATTCTGTTCATAACTTTTATGGACAGAAATTTCAGGTGCAGCCAGGGCGTTGAGGGTGTCCAGTTTGGTGACCTCAGGATTAGGTCTCTGCTTTTTGCAGATGATGTGGTTCTGTTGGCCTCATCAGACTGTGACCTTCAGCTCTCACTGGAGCAGTTCACAGCCGAGTGTGAAGCGGCTGGGATGAAAATCAGCACCTCCAAATCCGAGACCATGGTCCTCAGCTGGAAAAGGGTGGAGTGCTCTCTCCGAGTCAGAGATGGGGTCCTTCCCCAAGTGGAGGAGTTTAAGTTGTTCATACGTGGAAGGATGGAGCGGGAGATCGACAGGCGGATCGGTGCGGCATCAGCAGTGATGCGGGCGCTGCATTAGTCTGTCATGGTGAAGAAGGAGCTGAGCCAAAAGGCAAATCTCTCGATTTACCAGTCGATCTACGTTCCTACCTTCACCTATGGTCATGAGCTGTGGGTAGTGACCGAAAGAACGAGGTCGCGAATACAAGCGACCGAAATGGGTTTCCTCCGCAGGGTGGCTGGGTTCTCCCTTAGAGATAGGGTGAGAAGCTCTGTCATTCGGGAGAGACTCAGAGTAGAACCACTGCTCCTCCGCATCGAGAGGAACCAGATGAGGTGGCTCGGGCATCTGGTCAGGATGCCTCCTGGACGCCTCCCTGGTGAGGTGTTCCGCGCCTGTCCCATTGGGAGGAGGCCCAGGGGAAGATCCAGGACACGCTGAAGAGACTATTTCACCCGGCTGGTCTGGGAACGCCTCGGAATTCCCCCAGAGGAGCTGGTTGAAGTGGCCGGGGAGAGGGAAGTCTGGGTTTCCCTGCTTAGACTGCTGCCCCCACGACCCGACCCGGAGAAGCGGTAGATAATGGATGGATGGAAGTCATGTATTTGTTATTGAATTATAATGTAAGTCTCTCAACATTGTACTTTAGCTACTCATATTTTTTAAAAACACACACCTACTTGGTCAGGTAACGAGTTCAAACACTAATAATTCTTGGTTAAAATAATTTAAATCATGAAAATGATGCATCTCTAAAATCCAGTCCCCTATATGCACACTCTCTTCCACATTCCGAGTCCACCAGCTGTTTCAATTACGGCACTTAGTAAAGTACCGTGAAGCTAGCAAGAATAAGCAAGAATAATGAACCAGAAGTGCTTCCGCTGTCATGGTTATAACAAAGTATTTTTCAAAGTTAAAACATCTGTGTTCTGAGATATCAATGTGACTTGTGGCTTCGCGAGATTACACCAAGATTTTGCTACATTTCTCATAGCGAAAACAAATTCCTTTCAGCCTCGTTTCCATGACAGCGTTACCATCTGAAAACTGGCCATATTGCGATTCTCTGAAGCATCATGGAGTGGGCATGCTCTGATGGTTAAAGGAGTGTACGTTCCAAATTCCAGTTGACGTGTAAGGTGTACACCCCCTTCTAAAGCCCACCCACCCATTAAAAAGTGCTGAAAGTCAGAAGCAAAAAGAAAAAAAAACAAAATAGAGAAAAACAAAAAAAACATGTAATTTTATTTTTTCAAATATATTTGCAATGTGTATTTTCATTCTGATACTTAATAAAACTGCAGTAAAAACACCTTAAGTTTTCTCTTTAAGCATGACACTTATACTGTGCATGCTAATTTCTCTTTAGTTGAGGGATTTATTTAAGGGTGTTGTCTTACGCTTGAAGAACAACTACTGAGTGGGGTATATGGCTATAAGCTTTGCATGGGGGCAAACTTAGGAGTTAAGTTAGCATTCATGTCATATTTCTGAGAACAAGCAGAACAAAAAGAACAAATCTTTGCAGGTGAGTGAATGCGAGTGTGTAGTTCCTGTACGGGACTCATTCCCTGCAAATGATTGGTTTGTGAACATCGCACCATTAATGTTTTTATTGTTCAACACATTTAAATAAATGACAGCAGTGGGGTAGGTGTTTACTTCCCTTTTTGAGCATTCTTGTAGCTCTTATTAGCATATCAAATTGACTCCAGTGTAGATTAAACTACTGGTGAGTGTCATTAAGTTGCATCTTTCCTGGTTGCTGTTAGTTTCCCTGACTGTTCCTGCTTAGACCTGTTTGCTGTTGATCCCCAATCAAGGGGCTGTTTGCATGCCCAGGCCAGTGGATAACCAGTTCTACTGGACCATACCTAACATGCTGCTGATCTTTCTGTTTTTATTCTGCAATTTCTCTGTATTTTTTTTCTCTTTCATTCTTTTTATTTGAGGTCTCCCTGCTCTCTTAGGTGGTTTGCATGTTTTTTATTTTATTACCATTGTACCATCCATCCATCACCATAATAACTTAATCCCAACTGGAATCCCAGACCCAATCCTGGGAACAAGGGGGGGGGGGCAGGCAGGAACCAACACACCACAGGGTGTGCCCACTCAACCAATAACAGGGCCAACTTAGAGATACCATGCACAACCCAGGGATCAAATCCAAGACCTTCTTGCTGTGAGACAGCAGCACTAACCACTGTGCTACCTTGTTGTCCACTAACATTGTACCAGCTTTGATCAATTCTTTTGCCAACTACGTGTGTTGTTTTAGGCTTGCTTTGATTTTGTGCAGGGTGGTTTGTTTTATTGTACCTTTTTCTTTTGGTTATGGAGGGTGACAGTGTTCCCTCACAGCATGATTGGTAAATGCAATGAGAAGGAGGTGTGTTGGACATGACTGATGATTTGCTGAAACGCATTATGTTCATCGCACCATGATGAAGGAGCTCTTTCAGCAGGACTTCCCTGCTGGTTCCACAATGTTCACTTTGGGAGTTGCTCTGTACATGGGTGTTCAGTGTGGGCAAATTAAATATTTTGCATTGATTACCCAGGCCTCCACATCAGCACTCTCCCTGAGCAGGCATGCAGGCAGCTCAGACTCAGAGGACGCAACTCACCTAAAAGAACAGAGCAATTCTCAGTCCAATTTAAGCAGTCCTCATACATCAGGGGGAAGGAGAGGTTGGTCAGGTTGCTCTGACCTCCTAAAATCCAGCAGAGTGCCAGCAGCAGCTGTAGGGCTCGAGTCGCGGGAGGCCGGGCCATGGAATCGGGAACCTCTCTTCGTGGTGATCCGTTATGTTTGGGTTCTGCCTGCATCTGCTCCAAGGGGACAGGATGTGAGACAGTCTAGCCTCCCCTCTATACAGAGCTTATGGGCTTTCCTCTTTCCAGGAACCCCCTCCTTTCCAGTTTCTAATACAATCATATAGACACACTTAGGTACTTTGGCAAAAAAAAAAGTCACACTTTTTCATATTTTATTGAACCACCTTTAACTTTGTTTATGCTGCAAATTTGTCATGGAATTGTTTCCACGTGCTTATGCAATATCACAACATTTTTTTTATCCAAATTTGCATTAATTTCTTGCTGAGAACCTGTATTGATGACAGGTGACTTGAACCACTCCATAAAGTCTTCAGCACATCTGAAAGCTTTCAATGGGGTGAAGGTCAAGACTCTGCGGTAGCTAATTCATGGGTGAAAATGATTCCTCATGCTCCCTGAACCAGACTTCGACAATTCAAGACTGATGAATCCTGGAATTATCATCCTGCAATATGGCCATGTCATTACGAAAGGAAAAATCCATCGATGAGATAACCTGGCCATTCAGTAGATTCAGGTACTCAGCTGGCTTCACTTTATTGCTGCATAACATTGCTGAGCTGTAATAATGATCCAATCATTGGCTATTAACTACTTGCTGATTTACACATGGGTCCATACACACAAATGTACACAATCTTTAAAATTCACACATTTTTAAGTATGCACACTCACATGCACAAACATGGGAACACCCAAATACATATGGTCTCAATCGATGGTGCACAAATGTCACTCATGGCCAGAGGGGGCAAGATGCAAGGAAGGCTGAAGAGCCAATGGAGCATGTGAGTAAGGCGTGTATGCTAGGTGGGAAGAGTGTTTAAACAGGGTGACCAGACAATCCATGCCAAGGAGGACACTTTGAGCTACAACTGGATTTGTAAACCACCATTACAGTCAAGAGGATCTGGATTTCACTTAAGCCCTGTGTAGCTTAGTTCTTTCCCTGTTCCACCATAAATGATTCAGCTCAAGAGCTGTGTGGTAATTAACACAAGGAGTTTAATCAGGCGTGTTAAATGAGGGGAAACCCAAAAATGTGCAGGGCTCTGGCCCCCCAGGACTGGAGTTGGGCACCCCTGTGTTAGAATCTGTGTGAGTTTGAGTTGTGGTGCATCTGCTTGTTTCAGTTTGTAGTTCTGTTCCTGGGGGGTATTTTTCATAGGTCGCTTAAATCATCTGAGATCAGACACCTCATCTTGGATGAGTTAATGCCGGTGAAACTCATCTGGGATAAGTCAGTTTTTCAAACGCAGCTGTGTAGTAGACTAGTTTAGCTGGATCCATTCATCTAAGATGATTGCGTGCGCCTGCGCTGCTTGAAAAGCCCATTTATATCGAGTCTAGAAAACTTTATTGGCAAGTCTCTCATTGACTTCCACAAAATGTCAAAAAACAGGGTGCAATTTTTCACGCAAGCCGAGCAGGACCTTTTATTAAAGGGGTATGATGAATTCAAAGATTTAATATGTACTAAAGAAAAAACATCAAAAGTGGCCCAAACCAGAAAAGACGGCTGGCATAAAGTGTCCGACAAATTAAAGGTGAAAGCAGTTTTTAGTTATTGTATTTATCACTTGAATGTAGTATTACGTTCATTGTTTCATTATTATTTAATTGTCATAATTACAGAAATAGAATACAATCATACAGGGCATGAGAACAAGTTAAAGTGAAGTACAAAAATATACTTCAAACTGGTAAACATGACATTTCATTCATATATATGTGTGTGTGTATGTATGTGTTTTAAGTTTTTGTATATGAAATTTAGGAAATCTTTAATATTTATAAAACATTCCTTTTGAAGCTAATAAGAAAAAAGCAGACAAATATTTCAACCCAAACAGACTTTGTGAATTGCCTGGCAAACTATACTCTTTGATATATTTTCCGCATCGCCTGAAGTATACAAAAAAGTGCCGCTTGCAAATATCTCAAGGCGATGCACATTGTCTGTGTGGCTGTGAGAGCCCGACTTCACCTAGTTGGACTTCTACTATACGGAGCTAATAAATCTTTAAGTATAATATTCCATCTCGGCTGAAGCGGTATCTTTCTAAAAGAATATCATCCGGCAACAATAAAGAATCTTGCAGATCGTGCAAAACCCTCTCAATTTGAAATTCCCTTCTTATTATTTGTGCACCGATTGCAATTGGTCGCTCATCCATTAATGGTGAGGCCATGAGTGAATGGATTTCAATGCACGGACACTGATTAAGTGTGTGAGCTAATCAATGTTTACATAGAACAAACCGAGCAGGTTTGAGGATTTGGATGTACTGCTATGATAACACATCCAGCAAGAGTTTTGAAAAACCGACAGATGCAGGATCATGCCAAATCGTCAACAATTACACCCAGCTACACAAGTAATCCACGTACGAAAAACACCCCCCTGGTCTGGTTCTATTCCCTTACCTGTTGACTTGTTGTAGTTAGTCCTTGTTAGTTCAGTGTCCTAGTTGTCGAAGGCACAGCGCAGCAGACCGATTACCAACGGCTCGGTCTGCTGCAAGAAGTTGTGTATTGGCGGTCCCAGCCCGAGGTCCAGGAGGACCCCGTAGCCCTGGAACTGGCCAACGGGGGTGCGGACCTCCTCGCGGAGGAGCGCCCACCCGAGCAGGAGTATCCCCTCCGTCGAAGAGCGCATCGCCTGGATCCTGGGCGAGGTGTCTGAACCGGTTCCGCCTTCCGCAATGTGCGGCCGGAAGAAGCGGAGAGAGAAAAACGGAGTGCAGCAGGAAGAAGCCCCGACAATCTTCCTGGGAGCCTGCTCTGTGTTCCCCGCCTGGGAGTCAGCCAGTGGGAGTCAGCGCGCCTGGCCGGTAAGGGGAACAGCGCCGTGAGGGACGCCATTCCCCGAATCCCCACGGCTCTTAAAGGGGCAACATCCTCTTTAAAGACACGTGCTCGGGCAACCGTAATGGATGTTCCAGACCTGCCCAGTGTTCCAGACCTGTCTGTCTTGGTAGTACGACCTGCTGCAGCCGCTGCACCCGAGGTCCTCGCGCTGCCCGCTGCTTCGCCTGAGGCGCCTGCTACGGCCCTGCCTCTGACCGCTGCTTCGCCTGAGGCGCTTGCTGCGACACCCCCTGCTGGCCACGTGTCAGCGGCGCCCCCTGCTGGCCGCACGCCCGAGGTGCCCACTGAGGCGCTCCCTGCTGGCCGCACGTTCCGAGGTGCCTGCTGAGGCGCCCCCTGCCCGCGGCACCGCCTGACCCGCCTATGCCGGCGGCGCCCCCTGCTGGCCACGTGTCGGTGGTGCCAGCAGCTCCCCCTGCAGCTGCTACACCAGAGGTCCCAGGCCTAGCCTGTCTCGCCTGTCCAGCCCGTCTCGCCTGTCCAGCCCGGCACGCCTGCGGCTCCGGCTGCACCGCCTGCCGCCTGCCGCCTCGCCCGAGGCTCTGACTCCTACGCTGACTCTGTCTGTTCTAGCTCACCCAGCTCCGGGCCCCACCCGCCCTGCCCCCTGGCTTGCCCTCTCTTGCCTTGGCTGGGGCTTGGGGTGCGCCTGCGGGTCCTGTGGCTCCGGGTCGGCGGTCGCCTGCGGGTCCCCCTCCGACACCTCGTAGCCTGGCCTCGGTCCCGCCTCCGACTCCTCGTCGGTCGCCTGCGGGTTCGTCTGCTCCGGCATCCCCCTCCTCCTTACCTTTGCTGGTGCCCCCTCCGACTCCCTCCTTGTCTCCTCCGTCCGTCCCTCATCCTGTCTCCTTGTTCCCGTCGTGGTCCCCTCCTGCTCCCTCTGGGCTCCCTCGGGCTCCCCTTTGTCCTCCATCCATTCCTGTCTGGTCTCCCCTGTCTGCTCCTGGTCCCTTTTTCCCTCCTGTCTCGGCTCCTTGTCCCCCTGTCGTGCCTCCGTTCACTCCTGGTCCTTTTGTTCCTCCGTTCTTTGTGCCCTCTGTCTCTCCCTTCCTGGTCTGTTTGTCTGCGTTCCCTGTTCTGTGTCGGGTCCTGTCCTGGCTTTTGCCCTTGTGTTTGTTCTGCGTGTCTGTTCTATTTCCGGTGCCCCGTTGATGTTTTGGTTTTGTCTTCCAGGTCCTGTTCCCTCGTCTCGTCCGTCACCTCCCTTGGGGCGCGCCCGGTGTGCGCGCCTTTGGGGGGGGTTCTGTCACGCCCAGCTCGTCCAATCCTCGTGTGTGCCACGCCCACCTCGTTACCTCGTGTTAATTCCCGATTGTCATCACCTGCTTCCTGTTCCTCTTAGCTTGTCCTGTGTATTTAGTCCGCGTCTGAGTTAGTCTTCCCAGATCTGTCATTGTATTGTCATGATGTTCGTCGATGTCTGCCCGGATCCCTGAATAAACCCCGTTTGTTCGTATTTACGGCTTCGTATTTGTGGCTAATTTGCCACATTTCTGCCCAGCTAGAGCTGCCCTGGTCAACCATAAGGGAGGTGACTGAAGGTCAAAACATTTGGAAGCAAATTCAGTTGAAGTGTTTGGCCAAGCAAGCAAACAGAAAGAGACCTGATAACCCAACATCAATGCCCAGAGGTTGACATTTCAGATCCAGAAAGTAAAAATCTAGTCCAAGACGTTGGGAAACGTATTTATTCTTGTTGTGCACTAAAGAGGACATGCTGTTAAATTAAAATAAGAATAAATTTGAAAAAATCTAAATTGTTTCCTCCAAAGACAAATAACCTACAATTGAAGGACACTTTTTTCCTTGGGTCTCAGGAGGATATAGTACACCTGCACATGGAGTACATACCAGAGCATGTGAGCGGAGTGGAGCGGTGAGAATTTCCGCTCCTTGCTCACGAGGCTGCAGTTGGCTCCGCCCGCTCCTCCGCTCTAATTCGCACTAAGCCACTCCGCTCAACACCGCTCCTCCCTTTACTCACTGAAAGTTTCACCACATTGTTGTTCTTGCCCTACACTATTGTCATCTGTACGTTTCATAGGAATAGTACACTTGTATGA